AATTTTGAATTTGTTTCAAATTAATTGTTATTTTTATATATTTTAAGGTAGATAAATATTTTTTTATACTTTAATTCTGTCATTATCTATTCACTTTAATTAATTATCTAATCACAAAAAACTTATTCTTTGTTCTTTCTAAAAATATTATAAATAAATATAAATATAATTTCAAAATCTTAATTTAAAAAAATTAAAAAATGACAATTACTTAAAAATAAAATAAAGAGAGTTATTAAAGAAACTAACAAAAGAGGCAGTGCAGATTTATTTTTAATTGGGCATCAAGAAATTAATTTTGAATTTTTTTTTTTTTGAAAATTTTAGTGACGTGAACTTTATATTAGTTAAAGATCTCACGATTTTCGCTAACTTTTGGTTTAAACTAGTGAAACCAGGGATCGAATTCTGGTACTCCCATATCCCCCAAGTTGTACTTCTTCAAAAGAAAACGGGAAAAAAAAAAAAAAAAAAAAAAAAAAAAAAAAGAGAAGATGAAATTGAGCTAATTCCAGGTTTAATTCCCTGAAAGCACTAATGAAATTGAACTAATTCCAGGTTAATTCCCTGAAAAAACTTACTCCAATTTTCATTAACGGAATTCATCATGATATTTTGATTTATTCCTTTTTAGTTCATGAGTAATCTGAAACTGAAAACAGAGTACAAAGCAGGCAGCGCAGATGCACACTTGCATAGTATAGGGAGTTGAATTGATCCATACATGAAGAGGAAGCTTATTTAATAAGTGCAGTTGGGAGATGTCTAGGGTAATTTAAGGCACCATGTGAGCTGCATAACGTACAAGAGAAACATGGAACAAAGAGAAATTGAAAAAATTGAAAGGGGGACCTTTCTTTGACAACTGAAATATTGTTGTCTGCCCCAGTTTCAACATTTCCACACTATCAACACAGCCTGGCCTCATCCTAGTTACTACCTTTTTAAAAAAATTAAAAAGGAAATTCCAGCCTTTATATAGAGGCTTATTTATGAAATTAAAGAATGTGTACAGTTAATATCTTATTACCTGCCACAAGTACAATATATAATTTATTTATCTAAAAGCTATGATGTTACAGCAAATAGCAAAAATTTTTATTTAAAAATGTTTTTCATATAATAAATTAAAAGATTGATATTTATTAACTGGGCCTTTAAAAAAGTCAATAAGAAATACATTTTAATATTATATTATTTTAATAAAATATTATAAAAAATTAAAACACTCTCATTTTTATTTAAAAAAATAAATTTTTTTAATTTTTTTTAATAAAAATGTATTAAACAAAATAATTTTAAAATATTTTCTCTCTTATTAATTTTAAAAAAAAATCTGATAGACAAACACTTTTTTTTTTCTCCTAAACTAGTAATAGTCTTTATTATGCAATTATTCTTGCCTACCAAAAATCAAAAGTAAGAGGTATTTTGCATGACTTGCTAACCAACCCTTAAACTTGAAATAGTTTCCTGCAGCCACTAAGTAGAATCCAGAACCATCTAACCTTCCTTTGATCCATCGGAAATGGTAAAGTTGGATTAGGTTAAATAGCCTTTCCACATCCCGCTTGACTCTTTACTAAACACTTTCCTATTCATAGTTAGCCATCATATAAGTGATAATTGATCACCTCATGATTCAATTATTATGCTACTCCGAACTTCACATGCTAAAGAAATGAAATCTGAAAGGCACACTTACGCAAGAAAGTATAAACTTACATAGTGGTGTTGGGACATATATGATTAATAGGCCTAGAGTTTATATATATATGACCCAAAATGATCAACCGATGGTCGGTCCATAGATGTTGCATCATCAGAAATGAGACAAGAGACGAAGTTCGGAAAGGAGAATAACATCTATTTGCTCTTTCTCACATGCATGCTTGCAGGAACCATTAACTATTTGTTGGTACAAATTTTTCAAAAATATTGTTTTATACAGTCTATACAATATTAAAATGCACAAAACTAATCATCCAATGGAGGCGGCTCCTTCCCATTTGATGGTTCTACACAAAACCAGGAGCTATAAATTTTTTTTTCTTACTAGAAAAGAAGAAAATATATTGCTATAATAAAGGAAAATTACATCAAAACCAGAACCATGCCTGAAAGACATCAACAACAGAGCATAATTACAAAAATCCCAACTAGAATGTGACATTTCTAAGCAAATTCTACATTGATGAAACCCTAGAGAGATGCCAAAACTCAAGGTCTTCATTGAGGTTTGTCCTACTACCATTCAAAAGGACATGCGAAATGGCTCTGATACCATTTAAAATAACTCGAGTTGAAACCTATTACCTATATGACAACTTTTTAAGTCAAAGTTTATGAATCATAAAAAACTCAAATTTAAATTATTAATAATGATTAATTTTTATACTTATATATCAAATTCACTCACAATTCTTCTCATGTGTATTACATAGAAACTTAATAGGATATATATTAAGCTTTACTTTGGGGTTAGTAGGCCTACCCTAATTAATGAATTGACGTTTGGTGCTTGAGAGAATCAGGTATAGCTTTCAATACAAAGGACAATCAATGGCTTTAGAATTTTGATTAGCAAAACTTGATCACGACAAAAAAATTATTGGCACTTTATAAGATTTGTATCCATGCTTAAATTATTATCGGCCAACCGGTCATGTAATCCTAATTTGCTGAAAATGCAGCATCATATATTCATATATCCCCATCACACACGTTATACATCAAGCTAGGGAGTAGTGTGCATGCAAACTGGCTCCACGACACCATGGCCGTCGTTAAACGAAGGAAGGAAAAAAAAAAAAAAAATAGACTACGAATCCCGCAAGCCATATGTATATGGAGTACAGCTTTTAAATATGTAAGTATAATCTTAAGTGAGGTTATAAAAACGTAATTTTTAATTAGAATAAATTGGTGTGTATTTAGTCACCAATGTATAAGTGATTATATTTATATATACGATCACCTTACTATATAAAAAAATGGGCAAGGAGGAGGGGCGTGGGAAGAAGAAGATATTCAGAAATCAGTAGCAATTTTGTAATTTTTCTTATTTTCTAACATTAAAAGAGCGTGGTATTGAGTCCAAGTGGCCACTCTGACCACTGGAAGCACATCAGTTTTATTTATTTAAAAAAAAAAAAGAAAAGAAGAGGAAATTAAAAGACAGAAAAGAGAAGAATCAGCTTGGGAATGTTTAGTATGGTTGTGGATTATGATTTTTGGTTTTATCAATTATTATAAATTTTGTAACTTTAAATAAAAAGATTTTTTTATTTTCATGTATTTTTGTATTATATTATCATGATTATTAAAGAAATAAAAACAAAAACAATTTTAAAACTATTAAATAAATTTATATTTTTTGTTATCAATATTAAGACTTATTTAAACAAATTATTAACTTTTAATTTTTAATTTTAATTCTTAGTAATTACAAAATTTATGAAAATCCAAGTTAAAAATTAAAAACTACAGCTATATGGACTAAACGGATCCTATAATATTCCCTAAATATATTAATTCCAGGTCCGACTCACTCATGCAAGGGATGATTTATGAGGTTGTGCTAATTCTATCAGTCCGAACTGAAGAATCTCATATCGCCTTTCAAATATGGTCTCATTTAGAGTGTTTTTTTTATTTTTTTAAATGTTGAGAGTAAGAATCGAATCTTACATGGTAAAAACTAATATGAGAAGTTCTTAATAAAAAGTAGACTGCTAGTAGATTACAAAGATTTTCTCTCATTTAGAGTGTATTTGATTAAAAAAAAAATGAAGGTAATAAGAGCAGAGAAGAGAAAAAAAGAGAAGAAGTATAATTTTTTTAACTAATAAAATTATCATATTTAAAAATTTGATTGCTTAAACGAATCTATTCCTCTCCTCCCTTACATTTATCTCAAATCAAACATACCCTTCGATGAACTCACTGTTCTCTCCTCTTTCTCAATTTCTGATACATTTTCTAAGTCGTTGGTTTAGTTTCCTGTTTTTCAAAACCTTTTTCCCTCCTTGATAATAGTATTAAGCAGAAGAATGCGACTCGAAACTACCAGCAATAAATTCTGTCATAAGCGCCCCTCTTTCATTATTGAACATTAATTTCTACCGAAGTACGTCATAAATAATGTCTGCAATATATATATATATATAAAATAATATTACTCCCACAGTACTTATTATTTGATCATTCCTAACGATGAACTACTCTCATATGGCTTTTGATCAAGAGCTTAAACCTCATTTTAAGAGATCTCAAATTCCAATGTTAAAATCGATGGAGTGGGATTTAGAAAAGAATTATTATGTTGTTTAGTTTATATTATTATCTGAAATATATATATATATATAACTTTATTTTGTTTAACTTTTAAAAATAACTAATAATTGTAACTTTTAATAAATAATTGATAAAAAAATTATTATTTATTGCTTAATAGTTTACAATTAGCGTATAAACTGATGTCTCTATGAAAACTGAAATTTACCAAGAACTACAAAAAAATTGGATTAGATTTCATCTTTAAAAATTTCTTGAAACTGAAACATGAGAATTTGCCCAAAAACTACAAAGAAATAGCAAATAACCAAATCACTAGAAAACTGGAATGTGCCCAGAGCTACAAAAGAAATTAGCCTAGAGACTGATTCGATATTGTTTGGTTCACTTTGGAATCAACCAACGATTATCACAATACCTTAACAGTTTCCAAACACACCAATGTATAAGCTGTTTGAGGAAGGGAAAAAAAAAAAAGATAAGAGACTAATAAATCAACTAAATCAACCATCAATCATGTGATATAATAATAAAATCACATGTATTCTTAATCACAAGTCTAGAATTTTAAATACATTGGATAGTTAGTCTCTATGTACACAAAAAAAAAAAAAAAAAAAAATCAACCAAATTAAACACACCATAACATTGGATAGCTACTACTAGCTAACGTAAAATGTAAAACTATAATAAAAGAAAATAAAAGAAATTGCTGATATTAATTACTAATACAGCTAATTAATTATTAAGCTATGAACATTCGAATTAAGAAAGATAACAAAAGCTGTAATTTGTTCGAAGCATATTAGTGAAGGATCTACTGATTAACAATGAAAAAAGGAAAAAAAAAACCCTTATTCTTAGAACATTGGGGAATCAGATGGGGAAGAGTTCACCAAATTAAGAATATTATTCCAATAATTCTTGTTATCTTCGTAGCAGTCGCTGCCACTGCCGCTGCCACCCTCACCTCCATCACCACTGCCGCCACTGTTTTCTGATTCCTTGCCGCCCTCGGACAAGCTCTGGTCCATGGAATCGCTGAGGAGAAGATTAGTGAAGCCTTCCTCCATTACATTGCCGATAACATTATTGACATGGGCATTGTTCGCCCTTAAAGACTCCGAAGTCCAAGCAGTTTCTATTGACATGGACATGTCTTGAAGATTGGTCGTGAAAGATAGAGAATTCTCTATGGCTTCTTTGTATTCCGGCAGATGGGTTGAATCACCTTCTTCTTTGATGATTCCTGTCTCAGACGTACTAGAAGTTCCAACAAATTCAGTGATGGGCATCGAGCTAAGTCCGAGCCCGGTACTGCACATAACTGGCGGTGCATTCTCAGAGAAGGTGAGGGTTGATGTTGGGGATTCCAGATCGCCACTAAATCCAGTGTTTAAAATACCGCCACTATTACCTTCACTGGATTTCGTCCAACCGCCACTAATCCATGGAGCACTTTTACTGACACCAGGATCCGAAGTAGAAGCTGAAGCCGAAGCCGAAGGAGCAAAGCCAGCTGGGTGTTGCTGAAATGAGCGTGAACGTAACTTCGATTCTCGGACCAACCTGGCTTCAGCTTCGAGCCGGGCGCTTTCCCACTGAGCCATGTGGCTGAGATTGGCAGCGTTCTTGGACTGACCGTCACTTGAGAGTAAAGCGTCGTTTTTAGGCTTGTGGGTGACCGGATCTATACCCATTTTAGTTAACCTTTTCTTAAGATGCGTGTTCCAGTAATTCTTGATCTCATTATCTGTTCTTTTGGGCAAGTGAGTAGCAATAGCGGACCACCTGAAAGCACAAGACAGAAACAAAAAAGACATAATAGAGACAGGCACTTAAAAAACACAAACAAAAACACAAATTCTATAAACTGTCAACATTTTCCCAAGTTTTTTAGCTGTCTGAAGATAAAAACAGCTCCAATTTGAGTAGTTGAAATGGACAAGAAAAGGGAAAACAAAACCATTTTCTTGGTCATGTGGATATGAACAATATATTTTAAGATATTTTTGCATTAAATATTGTCTGGAAACAGAGAGAGTACTGCACAAGGGCCGAGACCATGATTCAATTGTGCAGGCCAGAATGAAAATCAGTGTAGGGGTAATAGGTAAGGGCAGCTGTGATAGTAATTGCATGCCACCATTACACCAAACAAACGCATGCAGCTCATCAGAGTAATAGAAACAAAGTTTTGAATTTTTTTTATCAGTTAATTATACACTTCGTGAATGACTATAGAAGTTTAAACTCTTGAATTTGAACGACGTAGATCAGAATTCAGGTTTTGTAGTGTTGAGGAGAGTTATGAACCTCTAATCACCAAATTCTGGTTTGAATTTGAAAAACCAAGATTCAGAGAGCCAAAATGGAAAAAATAAACCCTTTGAATTTGAGTTAAGGAAAAAAAAGAATTATCTTTGATATTCTTGTACCTGTTCCCTAATAGGGCATGGAGTTGAATGATGGTTTGCTCTTCTTGTACACTGAATTTTCCTCTCTTAATATCAGGTCTGAGGTAATTGGTCCATCTAAGCCTGCAGCTCTTACCACATCTTTGAAGACCTAGAAATTTCATAAAAATTAGAGATAAGAACATGTCGAGGACTGAAACATAGCAAGAATGAAGTGTTAAACACCTGCTTTGGCCGGTAAAGCACGCCAGCTTCCATGGCCATGTTCTTCAATGTAAGCTAAGAGTTTCTGATCCTCTTCTGGTGTCCATGGTCCTTTCTTCAACCCAACTTTGTCACAGCATGGTGATCGACCCATTTTCCCGAGGAGATGAGCAAAGAAGGAAGTATTTCTCTGCTCTTTATATATGGCAGAAGAGATGAGGAAAAACTTAAAAGGAGAGAAAGAAAGGAAGATGAGGAGAAGAGAAGCGATAGCTTAGAGAGTTTTGTAAATGAAAAGATAGGCTGAGAAGAAAGGTCAGCAAAATAAATGAGATAGGGAAATTAATTTTGATCAGAGTATATGCTAAAGTCACATGAGAGAAGCAACCCCAGTGAGTAGCATTGATGCAGCAGTAGACACTTCACTCTTTTGTGGCGTAGCTTTACTTGGTACATACGGCAATATATAAATGTCCCCAAAAAGGGACTTTGAAGGAATTTTTCTTTTTTGTCTCTCACCAAAGCGAAGGCAGTAATGACAAACGGGCTGGGTAGGGGCCCGATCCGAGTAGCCCAGAATTGGCTTGACATTTGTGTAGTAATAATTAGGTTCGGTTAACCTATTAATCATGTAAATTGATAATAAAATTATTTGTA